GCACGGGCGTGGTCGGAGGAGAGCTAAGGAAGCTCCCCAGGTGTTTGCCCAGGGTGTTACTTCCAGCCTGGCCGCCCAGAAAGCAGCCGTCTGGGGGCCGGGGACAGCGCGGGCCCGCGACGTCGAACAGAGAGCTCCTTGGAGACCGCTGGCCGTAGGCAGCTGTGATGGGTTTCTCCTTCCCTGGGCGCACGGTTGCAGTCCTCAAGGCAACAGGCAGGCAAATGTCCGACCGGAGTTGTGCTCCTCGGCCGAGGTTTAGCGTCCCAGCTGTGGCCGTCTGCTGAAGGCCAACGCCTGGAAGAGGCAAAGCTGCAGCTGCAGAGCTGGGAGGACCCTGGGCCGTGCCAGGTGCTTGTAGCTAATACAGGTAACAAATAATTGCAGTCACCATGGAATGTCCTGGTTGGAACTGGCTCCAGATGAACAAAACTGTTGCATAAATCACCAGACAGGAAAAAAAAACCAAACCAAAACAATGCAAAAACCAATGCCTCTATTTAGAAGACAGTAATACATTTTAAAAATATGTTTCACCATTTAGATCTAATGGAAATAATTCCTGGTGAGAATATTCTTTTAATTGGGGAAAAAAATACTTTTGTGACTTTGAAAATGTTTCCACTTGACAAGTAAAAAAATGTTATGACTTCTCTACCTTAATCCGGAGGCGTGCTGTGTGCTTTTAACGTAAACAGTAAATATAACTGCCAAGTCTGCTTTCACATTAAACCACACAGCTGATAACTGTGACACAAATACCAGAGAAAAAAAGAACACCGTTTTTGTACCCTCCACCATCAAGAACAATGCTGTGTTGTGTTTTGGTTTTGTACACTGAAGGAAAAAAACCCAAAGCCTTAAGGATAAATGCATCGCTAACATGCAATGGGATCCGGTGCAGAGTTAGAACGGTTAAGAGGTCTCTACCGAAAAGTATTTCAAATCATCAACTTCTTATTACCTGGTAACTACAGATGCTTAACAAAGTTTCCCTCAGTGTTTTGGATTAGCTGTACGCATCGGTTTTGTGAAAGGACCAATGACATTAATAATAAACAGTCAGTGCATACTGGTAGTAAGTAGTGCGCAACACTTTACAGAAAAGACAATACTAGGCCTACAGCAAAATTGTCCGTTCCTGGGCGATACAGGAGCCTGCTGTGTTTCCAGAAGGGTACTTCGTTGCCCACACTCCTAAGGCCATTTGCAAATTTTACCCGTGTCGTTCCTGTAACGAATCAGGCTGTTTTATTTTCGCTGATAGAGTGGTTATGATCATATATGGCTGTCAGTGCAGGTACAAAGAGTGCGGGGCTGAAAAAAGCAGATCTCAAGCAGTTTTAAAATGTAGTTTTAAAGTTTTAACTTAGCTGGTAAGAAAAAATCTCCTCCCTTGGTGACAGTGCAGATTCTCTTCCACCTCTATACCACAAAAAGTTATACTTGACGCGATCGTTTCTCCACACTGGACAACGCTGGGTAGTGGTAGTTGGTATTAGGTCAGCTCTAATAGTTTATTCTCCAAGCTTACATGGAAAAGAAAATCTACTAAGATGTCCTGATGAGTGGGGACCTTTCATCTTCAGTACTCTGAAAGAAAAAAATTGCAACACAGCAAAGTTAAACGTGGTACATCAGAGAGCTTCCATGGTGAGGAAGCTGGATTGCTAAGACTTCAAACAGGAAAGGAAAAAGCTCTTGGCTTCTACTTCTAAGTGCAATTTCCTGTACAAGAACCTGCACTGCACAAAAAAAGCACCAGAGGGTGGGTGGCAGCTCGGGAAGGGACCTCGGGTTCACGGTAGCACCTTACAGAGGATGGCCGGCCACAATCACTCTGGTGGGAGGGGGATCACAAGGAGAGCTGTAACTAGCTGAATTAGTTTTGTTTGCAGGAAAAACAACAAAAGCAATGTAGAGAAAACATGGAAATTAGGTGTCCTTTTGTAATTTTAATCCCCATGCTGTGTTCAGGAACATCCAAGAGAGCTGCTATGAAGCTATACGTGTGTAGGGTGGGGCAGGAACACCTGGGACAGGGACCTCAGGCAATGGGACAGTTTTGGCTCTGGAGCTGAGCCTGACAATAACACAGGCAGGCTCAAAAGCTCGGAGGAAAAAGTACCAGGCTCTCTTGTAAGAGAACCTGAAGTACAGTTCTGAGAGCATCTGCTCACAAAATGCTTCCTGGGTACCCACAGAGAAAATCAAGAATGAAGCCAAGAGAGCCAAAGATCAGCTGCTGAAAGTCACTGCTGGAGGAAAGGAGGCTGCAGACCTCACTGCCAAAGTGCCGCCACTACCATCACACCCCTAGTCCCACCTGGGTCACCACTGACTCAGACAAAGCATACACATGGTATGGCTGGACGCTCTGGAGGTAGGCGTGAGGGTGCTTTCTCACACCGTTAGAGAGTATTTAGGAAACATCATACAAGCAAGACTACACTAAGACCACAGCAACTACAAGGAGAAAACAGCCTACTAGAGAACCCAGTCTATTTCTCTAACCAAAGGATCCATAGTTTGTCTTGTCTGAACCCGACTGCCTTGCCTATTAGGGGGAAATTTTGGCATCAGCCTTCAACATGACCAGCAGTCAATGCCAGCATGTCATTTTGTGACAGAACTTTTCATAAA